GAGACTGTGTCAAAGGCTTTACTGAAGCCTAACCCCAGTTGTCTCAGAACTTGCTGCAGGCTGCCACCCTTCCCACCAAGGAATAGCTGGCATGTTTCTTCTACAAAGTCCTAAAAATATGCTGGTTTGGCTTGAAAGCCAAAGCGATTTTGGACTGAAAGAGCTCACCATCACTAAATGCTCTCAGACCATCCTCATCCTGGAAGGGGGGGCTCAGCACTTTGAAGAGTCACAAAACTACTTGCAAATTTCCAACTTTTTCTTAGACAGTTCTTACTCATTTATCCTCTTTCTCCTCAGTGGTGGTGGTTTTTCCTATTATCCATTTGTAGGGCTCAATCATACTCCTCCTCATATTAACACACTCCCTTCTCTACATCTGTTCCACAACTCAGTAATCATTTCTCATGACACATAACCAGACCTGTGCAGTGTTACCCACCCTGAATGTCAGTAAAATGTTGTACAGAGTCATTTTCTTTCTTACTGGAAAAGCTCCAGCTTGGACTGAATTTAATTTGCCCTTTTTTTGTCCTGGTTGGACCACACTGGTGATGCAGAACCATTTGTTATCTCCTCATTATGGGCTTTGGTACTGCAAGTGCAGCATTAATCCTCCAGATCAACACTTCTTCCTGTACAACATTCTGACCCCATGCCTTTGATGTAGTGGCACATGGGATGCAGTTAATGATACAGTGACAGATTAAACATCTAAACTCTTCCATTTGCTGTAACTCTTTGATATGCAATCAGCTGCCTTTTAAAAAAAAAAAAGAAGATTCTTTTCAGCTGCTTTGATTTACCTGGAATAAGAATAGTGACTGCTGCTTGGACTGCTCGGCGAATGATGTTGTCCATTGCAAACATCCAGTGGGGCCTTATTAAATGATTTCTTAATACTTTGTTCACCTATAAATAAATAAAAAACAACAAGTAAAAGTAGCAGCAAATAACATTTGCTTACACCTTAGGAAAGAGAATCTTGGTTTTTGATAGTCAGATGAAGCTTTATAAAGTAACAGCTACATGAGTCCCTAAAACCCTCCCACCTTTGAAAGTCTACACAACAGATGTGACCATTTTAGGCTTTCATACCATACCTAGACAGTGTCACTGAAGCCCCTCTGCAGTACAAGGAAAGGTAGAACAGGAAATAAACGTGAGGTCCAGAACATGAGAGCTTGCAGCAAGTGCACGGGCAGCCCTTCAAGCACCACCCTTGGCTTCAAGGCCTACCTGGGAGTGCCCACCTGAAGCACTGAGGCTCCAACAGATCAGGGCTCTGTGTCGAGCCCTGTGTGCCTCTCTGAAGTGCTTGTCTAATGCCTCCTCCTAGAGCAAGGGAACATCCAGCACTGGTGATCCATGGGTCACCAGGCAAAACCTGACCTTCAAACACCTTTAGTCCTTTCTTAGGCTTCCATATGATCAGTCACCAGGGCTTTGTCTCCTTCATGCTGCCCACGTCCTCCCACCTTCCCCAGCAAGTACAGGAGTTTCTGAGGAACTGGGGCAGAGAATGGCTGTTGGGTATGCACAGGGTAAGAAGAGAAGGAATGAGGAAGAGTGGAGGAGCCGACCAGGAAGAATCTCTCTCCCCTGTGGTAGGCAAAGGACTCACTGCATCCTGAAATCCAAACAGCACCAGATGAATCTGGTTGATGGAAGTGCTGTCAAAGTCCAAATCCATTTTCAGCTTGGATATGGTAGAAGCCATCACTCTCTGCTCTGGAGAGCGTATGAAGTCCCTTAAAATCCCAATAATTTGCTTGATGTGGGCCACTGAAAGTTGCAGTTCTTCAGAGCTCTGGAGCAAAGATAATGAAGGTATATCAAGTAAATCCTAGAGTCATTAAACATCTAATTAGTAGTATTAGTATTTTTAGGGTTACAATTTATAGCTTTACCCATGTATATTTCACACCAATGCACAGAAATCACAGAACTTCTGTTTCTGCAAAGCCTTTATTTTCTCCCTTTTTCTAACTAAAATTTTTAATACTAATTCCTATTAAAAAAAAAATAAATGAAGTCTACTGCTGCTGCAGCTGTCACAGACTGAAGAGGGTCCAGATAATATCTACACATTTGTGCTGTGTACTGCAGAGGGCAGCTCTCCTCCATGAAAACAGCAGAATGAGTTGCTAAGAGAGCCAAATTTTTCAGATGCTGTCCTTTCAATAAGTTGAATCTGTACATACATCTTATTATGCATACATTGATTTCCTTAGGCAAAAAAATGTTTATATATGCATTTATCACAGGTCAGAAAGAGGTCTAAGATTACCCAGTGATAGGACTCAAGTGTTCATTCAATGATTTGCAGCCCACAACCCCTACAGTTAAAGCCATCCAAGTGCCTGTAAGAACAACAACCTGCATAATTCAAAGAAAGGGGAGAAGTATTACAGAAATTATGGAAAAGAGATGATCACAGCAGTGCTGCAAAACAGCTGGAGACTGGCAGGACTTGCTGTTACTAAATAATCCTTCTTTATCCTGGAAAATATTTAGAGCCTTGGTTATTTCTGAGATCTCTCATATGAATTTTAGTCCTCCATGACGCTGTAAGCTGTTTTGCAGTTTAAGCTCAGAGCAGAAGTTTACCCCAATTGCTCCCCCGGCCTGAGCTTATGCCCCTTTCTCTTGGACCTGTAAAGCTTTACAGGAGCCGTCAGAGTCCAAGGCAAGCTGGTCTGCACCGTGAGGAGGTTTACAGTGACTCACAGGGGCAAGGCAAAACCCTGCACTGTGTGGAGCTGGCTTCCCACGCCAGGCTGGGCTGGAGCTGCCCCAGGAGCAGCAAGGCCCCCAGCAGCGGTGCTGCAAGTGCCTTTGCACTGGGGATGTCACAGCAAGAGGCAGCAGGCTCCCCTTGATGGGAATGCAGTGCAGGCGAGAAACTGTAGCTTTGATAAGAACAGATAACGTCAGTGGCACATGAAGAAGAACAGGCTAAGCAATCAACTCTTACTGGTGTGTGCCATTGCTTGGCTATGGGTGAACTGAAAATAGGATTTTTTTCTTGATCCTCTTTACAGTCACCGAACCTTCCCGCTCAACCCTTCCTTCTACAGAAAGTCTACCACAGCTCTTTTAAGATTCAGGTACTGTGTTCTTGGCACCTAGTTCACATGTGTTTTGAATTAAAAATTGTTAATCAGTTCTCTGTGCTTAAAGCAAGTAATACCTATTACTACCTGATGGTCCATTTCCACGTCCTTAAAAGCCAAAACAAAACACAGCATCAAAACCACCCAACTCACCAACCTGAGTTCCCGAACCCCACATCCAATGGCCCAAACCTCCCCCTCCAAAAAAAATGAAGAGCCCAGAAGCAGGCAAAAGTTGGAGTTTGCTATCCATTCAGACAACAGCAAATAGCTCACACAGTTATAGGTCTCAGAGATTAAAGATACTCAGAAGGAACAATCCAAGCACCTTTGTTTATTAGTTTGCAGAGAAGAAATGATACTACCTAGCTTATCATTTTCCTTTTGAGATGGGGAAAAGGAGAGCTGAAGTGAAATTACCTGTGCAAGGCAGTCCTGCAAATTGGAAGCAACTTTATTCTGCTCTTCCTTAAGGATTTTATACAGGATCGCTCGGCGCTCACTGTCCTTCCGCAGCAGAAACAGACCAGAGTCCTTGTCCTCAATGGAAGGAGAGGCGCTCCTGTCCTCCGAGGCCGAGCCCTCATCAGGCACGCTGCGACAGCCACGTGCGCAAGAGACCTCAGCATTAGCAATGCAGCAGCACCGTCAGAAGAGAGCAGGGGTACTTCAGAGGTTAAAAAGTGAGTTAAAACTGCAGCAGTGCACTGATCTGGCTGTTAAATGCTAATTCTGAGACAGAAGACCGCTCAGATCCTCAGCTGACATAAACCTCCCTGAAGCCGAAAGCGCAAGGCTGATTTAATCCCCCTGAGAAGCTGGCATCAATGTCAGCCAGCACTGCTTCAGTTCTGGGGACGAAAGCTGAAAACCCTGGACTGAGATAACTATTCATTTCTGGCCCATACTGCCCATGGCAGGGGGTTGGAACTCGATGATCTTGAAGGTCCCTTCCAACCCAAATCATTCTATGATTCTACATAACATACTCATTTGAAAGTACTGCTTTGTGCTCTCTGATCAGCAGAACTGTCTTTCTGGTGCCCCTTTCCTGCATTTCTTTTTCATGGGAGGGTCAGCTCTTCTGCTAACTCCTGAATCCATATCCACTCAGTCAATAGGACAACTGACATCTATTCACTGGAAAGGGAAAAGTATATAAATCCATGGAAACCTTAAGGTGAAAGAATCATTCTTCCTTAATTAAATGTAGACAACATTTAAATAGTAACTTGCCTATACAGCTTGCTTGCTGTTTAACACACCTGCTTATCTAGTTAATATGTGAAAAATTGCCCTCAGATAAAATATAATGTGAATTAAATCCAGATAATCCCACATAGGTGTGCAGCAAAAAGCAAATGCTTTACCTTAGTAAATGGGAAATGGGATGCTTTGTCTGAATCTCTGAAATGGATCTCTTTGGCCTTTCGAAAAACATCTCATGTTGGACATCAGAGTCAGGCGAAACAGAGCCATGCTCACTGCTGCTGCTGCCAGCCTGCTCTCCATGAATTGGCAGTGGGAGGGACATATTCCGATTGTAATCTGTGAACAGACATCGTAAAACATGTAACGGAACTAGGCAGAAAGGGGCAATGTGCTTAAACAGCTGCGATCACCGTCAGTGATATCAAGAACTCATTTTACAAAATGGCTGGGGGACAGGTAACCTTGGTGCTAGAAAGCAGCGATACAATTCAAAATCATTATATGCATAAGCAATAAAAGGTGTGAACGAGCTAACTGCTGACCCCACAGACAGCAGAGCAGCTACATGCTCATATGAAATGCCATTTTGTCACCCTCTCTTGCACACACACACCCCCCCCCCTTGGTGCGGATCTCACAAAGTGGTGCCACTGGATGTACAGCTGTTTAAAGAGCCTGAATCAAACAATGGGTTACCATCAGCTGCTCCAGCACAGCCACAGCTCTCAGCAGAGAGCACTTTGCTACGTGCCCTCCTCACCTCTGCCCAACCGTGTTAATGGGCAGGTATTTGCTCCCTCTCTAACACCCAGTCTGCCTCACTCAAATGTCCCCTTGCCCTCAATAAGGGTTCATTTTCTCTTAGGACTAATCTGAAGAAAATGTCTTATCCCTTTCCAATTCATCCTGAAAGTAAGATGAAATTAAAAAATAACAGATCTTGAGAGCGCTATAATCCTGTCAGTTTGCAGCTGTGTGATAGGAAAGGTAAGGAAGAAGTTCTGTCACATCAGAGTGCACACATCCATGAAGCTAAAATATCACAACAATTTTTGATGCTTGTCACTACAAATTGTGTGGAGGTGGGGGAGGAAGAGAGCAAGAAGTTAGAAGTTGTTCAGAGAGCTCTGACATACTCCATGGCACCTGGCTGACGTTCAGATGGCTGGGGTCAAACAGCCACAGAAATGAAACAACATCTGTCACCTTGCAAGGACTGGTTCAAGGCCTCTCAGCTGTACTGAAGATTGAAAGTTTTTCTCCCAAGTGTTAAGTGCTGAGATTTGCTCTGGGCTGCTTTTATTATTGGAAAGAAAAAAGGGGTAGAGATGGGGTGGAAAGGTAGGGACAAAGCTGAGGAAATTTGTGGTGAGGGAAATGGTAGAGGGAGGAGACAGGGTAAACTGCTGCAGCTGAGACTGCGGCAGCTGCTGGGCCAGGACCTGCCTTACACCCCCAAACTCCCCTTGGAGATGGCTGCGGCAGCCAGCACAGCTTTGCCCAGCTCTGGCACAGTGCAGCACACATTCGGCTGCAGCCATGGTGCCTTTCCCTCACCCAACAAACAGTTTCCATAACATTTGCCCGCTCTGCTCATGTCCATGGCCAGCACTGAGCTTGCTTCTCGCTGCAGCTCAGTGCTAATCCTGCAGCACCAGATTCTCAGGGCATTTGAAGGAGCTCCATAACCATCAATGAGCAGGAGAAGAGAAGAAAGGAGAAAGGCAGGAGGAGGAAGGGGGTGCAAAAGGCTGCACCTCCCCTGATATTTGACAAAGAGCCTGCCAATAGCTCCTGACTGCCATTGCCCTGGCTGAGCAGTGAGAGCTCTCCCATTACCCGGTGCAACTGCAAGGAGTGCAGTTCTCAATTGCCCCTCAGGAGAAGAGCTGATGCCCATTTCCTTGCTGAAACCAATTCTGCTAGATGTTATAAATTCTTTGCGAGTTTTTCCCCTTAGAATTCCATTCCTTCAAATGTTCCTTGCTGAGGGGGGAAAAGCTCAAAAGGGGAAGCAGTTCTGTTTGTACTAGGAGTGTGTGCATGTGTGTGTGGAGATGGGAAAGAAGCAGGAAGACGAATGGCTTTGCCTGTTTTTAAATGGATAGTTCCTTCAAACACTAATGATTTATTTGACAGGTCCATATTAAGGTCTATTATCTTATCACTGAACATGTGGCTGATATATTGGGGAGAGGAGGAACATGCTAGGCAGATGAAACAAAACAACCCACTGAACAGCTACTTCAGCACCTATGTGTCAAATTTCTATGCTAGATATCAAGTTTGAAAATGCTGACCCATGTAGACCCAAACACCTAATAGCCCAACATTTTCAGGTGCCAAACACCTACTCCAGAAAACTCAGATTGCTGAAGTGTATATAATTGTGAAACTAACATTTAGAATTGCTTTGGAAAGTCTTCACCAAATGTCATTTTCCTAATTTGAATTTATTATAACTTACTGTTCAGGAGACATTTATTTCTGGGGAGAGGAAAATGGGATTGGGAGGTTTCAGCAAGTAAAACACAAAATAAGCAAGACACCATATTTTGTGGGAATTGTTAAATTTAAATATGTCTAATTACAAATCACAGGCACTTTCAACAGTTGAGTTCCTGCTGCTTTCCTGGCACAAGAATTGTCCTTTGTAGAAGCGAGTGCTTAACGATTCTAATCTTTTATGTAACACTTAATGACGATGTTGACTTGGACTTGGCTGATAATTCCTTACCTGACGGCTTGAATGCAATTCTGCTTTTCTTGCCCTTGTTTACTTGTTTCAGGAAGGAATCTCTGAGCAAATCAGCTGCTGTAATGCGTTTACTAGGATCAGGTTCAAAACAGAGCAAAATAAAGGCCCTTGTTTCAGCAGACAGCGATTCTGGAATTTCAGGATGAATCTTAAACATCCCAACCTGCAAGTAAAACACAAACACAAGTTATTTTTACTAAACAACTGCAAGGGGACCATGGGCCAATGCTTTCTTATAGTATGATCTCACAGAATCACACAGAATAATAGGAGTTGGAAGGCATCTCTAAAGATCATCCAGTCCAATCCCCCTGCCAGAGCAGGATCGCCTAGACCAGGTCACACAGGAACGTGTCCAGGCGGGTTTTGAATGTCTCCAGAGAAGGAGACTCCACAACCTCTCTGGGCAGCCTGGTCCAGTGCTCTGTCACCCTCACAGTAAAAGAGTTTTTCCTCATGTTCAGATTGAACCTCCTATGTTCCAGCTTGCACCCATTGCCCCTTGTCCTGTCATTGGACATCAGAGAGAAGACCCTGGCTCCTTCCTCCTGACAGTCGCCCTTTACAAACTGATAAACATAAATGAGGTCGCCCCTCAGTCTCCTCTTCTCCAAGCTAAAGAGACCCAGCTCCCTCAGCCACTCCTCATAAGGGAGATGCTCCACTCCCTCGATCATCCTTGTGGCTCTGCGCTGGACTCTTTCAAGCAATTCCCTGTCCTTCTTGAACTGAGGGGCCCAGAACTGGACACAATATTCCAGATGCGGTCTCACCAGGGCAGAGTAGAGGGGAAGGAGAACCTCTCTCGACCTACTGACCACCCCCCTTCTGATACACCCCAGGATGCCATTGGCCTTCTTAGCCGCAAGGACACATTGCTGGCTCATGGTCATCCTGCTGTCCACCAACACCCCCAGGTCCTTTTCTGCCGCAGCTTTCCAGCCACTCGTCCCCAAGCCTGTAGTGCTGCACGGGGTTATTGCGACTGAAATGCAGGACTCACTCTCACAGAAAAGGAGCGATCCAGGTACCCACACAAAGCAGTGAAGTGACAACAAGATTCTAATCCTGTTTTACCTCACTGCAAACATGGCATGAATGTCCATGTGGCATTACACAAATGTCAAGGTATGGCTGTATCCAACCAAGTGCCTGCATGCAATCTTGGGATCTGAACATTATCCACACCAAGTGCTTCAAATGCTGCCTCTCCTACCAGCCACAAATCCCCCCAGTCACTGCATATGCTTCCCATCGCCCCTGCCCAGTAGTGTGTCTCTCAGTTGCTGACTCCTATAGCACATTCGTGCCCAGGAACAGGAATAACTTCTTCCTCTAGCGCCGACTGCCTGGGGTCTGCACCTGTTCTGCTCCTGCTGCTGCCAAATTTCCTTGTACGAACCCTCACATTGACCTTGCCAGACCTTGTCAGCACCCCCAGCACTCAGGCCAGATGTCTTTCTTAGCCTTTCGGTGTTATTTAACTGAAAATCATATGATGTTCAAAGGTTTAACAAGACCCCCCACTCTTTTTTTAAGTAGCGACAAAAAATGTTTCTACAGGTTGCTCTCTAGTGATTTTTCTAGCTCCTTCACTGCCTTTTTATTCTCTAATGCCAATCTGGCATAAGTGTTTGGAAGTGAGAGCTGTGTAACACGTGTGCACTGTGTGGCATGTATCTGGCAAGGTTATGGCTTGTAGTCTCAGCATCTTCACATAAAACAGGCTCTGGAGAACAAGCAGTGGCCACAAGGGAGAGAGTAGCCCAGCAGTTAAACAAGTGCCAGCTGCTTGCTAAAATGAAGAGCTGTTTAAATAATCTCATTATACAGCTGCATTATCACACTGTGGCACCATTAGGCACTCACAATAGTGGTTCAGCTTCAGTGCAAGCTGACAAAAAAATGCTGTGCCTTTGTGCTTCTGTTTGAATGACAGTGCAGGATATAAAATGCTAATACTGCATTAAGGCCTTCCTAACCATGACTCCAGGCACATTCAAAACTCCGTATTTCCTGCATGTAACGTTTTTAATATATGCAACTTGCTAACCTCTACAATTAAATGGATGTATTTAATAAACAAATTGAATAAATAAATAAATAGACATTATGTCCTGTTGGCAGGATACGACATCTATGCATTTACCTTGTCTTATGGAGCATCTTTATCTGATCTATAAAACCTCATGCGCGTTTTGGACAGTGCTTTATAAATGGAGTATATAGTTTCACCCCTTCAAAACGTCAGCCTGGCAAATCCTTTGCTATGGAGCAGAGAGAGGACAGCCACCTGCTTGCTGTGCTTTGACAACTCCTCTGTCTCCGTGGTCAGCCCACTCCAACTTGTGCCCTCTGGGGACAGAGCCAGCTTCAGCTGGGGCAGCAGCACAAGCTGACTGCGCTCCGCTGCCTGGTTATGCCCTCACGCACTAAACAAAACCCAGGACAGTCCAAACAGGGACCAGGAAATTTGAATACATGTCTCTGATCTTATCTTAATCTCTGTGTCTCAAGGGGAGTAAGTTTTGTCACAAGCATCCATCCAGAAACTCTGTGGCAATGTTAGTTTACCCTGTCTCCATTGAATCTCATTTGTTTGCACTCCTTTCACACAGAACAAGATGCACACATACAACGCTCATAGATGAAATACAACATACACTGAGAGAGGAATTATTTCCAGGTCTCGGTTCACTCTAGCTCCTTTTCTCTACTTTGTCCAACTCTTTGGTCATTTGTGACTTCTATACTGACTGCACAGCCAAACTTAGACCTTCCCTCTCCTCATCTGCCCTATGCACGACAGAGTGTGCACATGTGGAGGTGAGGACCTCAAAAGTTCAACATCCCAAGCTTTTGAGTCTTCTGTTGTTTTAACATGCCTGCCCAGTCAGCCTGCTTCATTCCTGCCTTCACACCTAGCATCTGGCTTGCTTACTTTTATTGCATGTCAAAAAGAAACCTCAATTTGCAGTTTATGGTGCCCAGCAAGAAACAGTTCCAAGCAGGTCCCAGCAGAGCTAAGAAACAGAAAACAAAACCAAATGCTTGACTGCAGCACATTAACCCAATCTGCAGTAACAGTGCTAAAGACTCTGCTAAGTCCTTGAAGAAAGAAGGGCAAGAAATGTATTTTTTAGAATGCCAATTCTGATACTTCAGAACACAGCTGTGTGGCCTGGAAGTGCTTATAGGCAGGACACAGGGACATGTACAACCCTGCCAGACCTCACCTCGCGAGCCTGTGCAGAGCTCATCGAACACTCAGAACCGAACCAGCGCTTCCTGACAGTTCAATAAACTGTGCTGAAAATATGACGTGTTACTCACTGAACAGTTCAGCTATGTGCCAGATAGGTAAGAAGAAAAGGCATCTGCTGACAGAATCACATTTGACATACAGCAATGTAGAAAAAACTCTTTCCGTGGCTCACTCCAGAAAGCTTTAGTGAACCAAACCATGTTCACGCAGGCAGCTTCCTCTGAGGTAGCGTCACAAGCTGACAGTGCCAAGGTGACATATTATACTGCTGCAATAACTACATCAAAACCCATAACCATCCCTTTCTTTGCCTTTTAGCTGTGGTGCATGGGAGAACTCACAGGCCTAGTATGATGCGTGGCGCTATGTGCCATGCTGAATTGCAGCCCAGCTTACTATACTTACTGATAAAGATCTGATTTTGCTACCATGGTTCCATTATTAATTACACTAATGCTCATATGGCGACTTTCAACAACTTATACAAAAGAATTAACAATACTGATAATTTAAAGCAGTTTGCTGGGTTATGGATGGGATATTTTTCCCATTATAAGAATGAGGACTCTAAAGCATACATGAAAACTTAAGTACTCCACTAAAGGTCAACTGCAAGCCAGTGGAAGGACCGAAAATTTTCAGTTTACACTACCAGTTTACTTTAGTTAACACTAAAAGAAACAAAGTACTAGAGGCAACAGTTTACCAAGGAGGTAGCTTTGATCTAAAGAACTTAGAATGTAAAATACTGAGTATTTTACTCCATCAGCAGGTACCAGAAATCCTAGAAAAGTAGCCCCCTGCCCCCTCCCACCTCCCATGTTTGGGAGACAGGGCCTTTGAAAGACAAGGCAAACAGATACTCTTGGAGGGGGGCTTATAAACAAAATACTTAAAGGAGGAGAAATAACTTGGTTGTCATTACTGGAGAGCCTGGTTGCCAAGAAGGTAATCATAAACCAAGAGAAGGAGATGATAGAAGTAAAAGGTAGAGAATACTAGTTTTCATAAGTCTTGACTTCTTTTTCAGGTTGCTGCTCTGAGTCATGACCTATTTCCAGCACAAAAATAAATTATTCCCCCCTAGAGCAATACAGCTTAGAGCAGAGAAGGGTCATTCAGCGAGAGGTAAGAACGCAGGCCAGACTGTGGCTTTGTACAAAACAACAAAAGGTTACTACCGATTAAATTAATATTAAAAAATTAAGTTAGTATTTGAAAATTCATAAACTCTACAGCAAAAAAGCTGTACTTACTTTAAACATTGCTGCTTGAGGCTCCCCTAGTTCATGAAATGGAGGTTTGCCTGTTGCCATTTCAATAATGGTACAACCCAGTGACCAGATATCGGCTGGGGCACCGTATCCTCGTGGTCCTTTATCGATGATTTCTGGAGCCATGTACTGCAAGGTTCCTAGGCAGGACAAAAAGAACAGTCAAGCGTTATAGTCTTCACCCTCATTAAAGAGAATTAACACATCACTAAGCAAGCCAAATATTGTCAGGTGCAACCTGTATAGCCAAAATATCTGATTTCCCATATCAGCACTGAAAACTGGACAGAAACTTAAGTTTTAAAGTCTTTTCTACAAACTATCTTTTTTCCCCTCCCTTTCTAATACAAAGCTTCAAACTGCTGAAAGTATATTCACCACATAATCCAATTTATTCCTCAGATGTAAAATTTTACTTAAAAAAATCTGCAGACACTAAATTGTACAGACTACACATGTAAGAGGTGAAGAAAACCTGCAAAGTGACAGAAAGCTTTCATCAGAATAATTTTTCATATGTTTGCCCCTATAATGAGAACACTAGTGACAGGGGATTTCAGAAAGTTAGTTTGAAAAGAAGGTATTTTTGTAAATATAAGATAATAAAGATAGGAACATTTAAAAATTTAAATCTCAAGTTTTACACACACACAAAAAATTAAAATTGTAATTAAGGTAAATCAATTACACAATAACTAAAAAAATAAGGGAACCCATCATAAATTGCAGTTCCAGATTGGATGTGCTTGGCATTTCTGATATCTATTAGACAAAAAAAAATAAAAATAATAAAAATCTACTGAAACCTCTAAAGCCAGACATGTGGGCAAAATAAGATCCTGCCCAAGCCTATAGTTGACTCTTAACAGACAAACCTGAATATCCCTAAAGTCAGCCCATAGACAATCTGACTGTATTACTAGTTCTAATTCTGATAAACAAAAAGAACAGTAAAAATGAAGGTCAATTTGGAATTGGTGATATTCAATCGTATACTAACACAGCACACAAGAGGACTTTACAGGAAGAAAGTCCACACCAACAACAGAAACCTATAAATGTTCAGAGTGTTTCAAATGCTGCAGTACTTTCTCCACATGAATTCCTCTACCAGCTCTGTTATGACATCTTTAAATTAAATTATTTTTCTTCTTAACAATGCAATAAAATTACACTGTAGTAAAGATGTGAACTATGAAGTAAAGGACATCTGGTGAAGATAAAAGGGATTGGATATTACTGTATTCATTAAATGTGACTGCAGTAGAATGAAAGTTCAAGCCACAGCTTTGCCCTCGGGCTGTGTGTGTCTTGAATGGAGCCATATAATGTTTAAACCGCCAGAAGTCCCATTCTTCAAATCATGCGATTGCATCGCGTTACGCCTAAAACCCACAGTTTATGTACCGAGTTAAGGAACAAAACAAATTGCAGGAGAGCTTTTAAGACCCTCTGGGCTATAGCTACCTTCTTACTGATTTCAAATCCAAAATGAGAACCTAAGTAAAATATTTATCCTCATGGTAAATTACATGTCTGAGGACAAACAGGGCTGCAAATGTGCAAGAGAACAAAGAAGAAAGGCACAAGGAAAGATCTACCTCCTTTTATTACAATATGGTGACTTTTCCTCAGATACCATTTCTCCACATGATATCTCTTAGAACAACCAGTTGCTAAAAAGCCACTAAGGAGTACATAAAAACAGGCCTTATTTCCCTCTAGTATCTGCTCCAGCCATAATAGCAACCAGCCACATAGTGGCTTCGTGGGCCAAAATTAAATTTTGGACTATGACTTTTAATAGCCACAAAAGGGTCTTCCTTCATGACTTCAACTTTCACCTTATGGAACCCCCTTATATACTTGAAGTTTTCAGAATATCCTGTAGAAATGAGCAGCACAGTATAGCTATGCATCACACCGTGTGGTAGTGCATCTCTCTCCCATGTAGTGTAACTGCACTGAATCAGCCTAACAAAAATGGCAAGGTCAAGCATTGCAGGCAACACCTGAAAATATTCTTTTCCAGACACCACAAGAGACCTGTACATATTTGAGAATTATCCATCCTGTTGCATAAGCAAGTTGATTCCTGAGAAAATTATTTGTTGAATAATTTGGGAAAAAATGGTGAACTCCTTACAGGAATGCTTCAGAAGCCAGCATTTAACCAGCTCTGTTCAGTCATACTGTCATTTATGTATCTATCTTTTGTAGCATCTATAAACTGAAGAGACTGCTTCTTGTAGCTCTTCATTCTTAACAAAACATTCAAATGCTGCATTTATGATTCCAAACTGAACAAATAATATTTTTTTTTAATTCTCTTTAAAGGACTTCCAACTTAATTTGATTATAACCAAAATCTTTATGGCTTTGCAGGAAATAGATTGGTTTCAAATGCCTGCACCGGATGAGATGTTGAACTCACAAGGTATTGATGCAGACATCATACACTGTGTTCAGATCATCAGGTAAAATAGGCCTAATGTCCAATTCACAAGCTTTGCTAACAGTGAGAAAACAAAGCTTAACCTTTGTAAGAAAGCTGGAGGAACTGCAGACTTATCACCAGACAGGTAATGGGAAGCCTTGATTATTGCTTAAATGGAAGTTGCTGTCCTCTGTCTTCCACACACGATTGATAGCTGTGTCTGAGCACCATTTATTTAAACTGCAGACCAGTATGAGGCTTGTGATTTGTGCTATCAGCCTATGCATATGGCCATATCACAAATGAAAACATCATGTTACCTGTATCTCTACCGATAGAAGAAATGAGTAATTATGGGACTATATATTCATTTTTCAATGTAGAATTGCCACTGTTGCTCAGCAAATTTTGTTTTCCATGAATATTGCAAGTATTTACTATCTTGTTTTTTATGAAAGCTTTTCTCTAACATACCAGCTTAGTATTTCCATGTAAACTGTTCTTTCTACTGCTGATAACACCAAGTTAGCCAATTGATTGGGTTTTATAATTAATGCCCCAAACCTGAAAGTATTTATAAGTTTGTGTTTGGTTGTCTGCACTTTTAGACATACTTAAGTAAGTGTCCATGTATGAGTTACTGATACCAAGATTCCTAAATAAAAAAGTTGCTATATTCAAGTGATTTTGGATGTAACCACAACAAATCATTTGCTACTTAGTGAAAAACACTTAGAAGAAAAACTATTACCTCATCACACTCAAGAAGTTTAAAAAAAAGAGTAAAATGGAAGGAAATTTCATTTTAAGAAAAAAGAAAGCAAGCCTATGCTTATGGTGATCACACTCCCATTCACTCTTCCCTGAAAATCGAGACCTAATTGTGTTTTTATTGCAAATCCAAAGAGCCTGTTGGCTCTAACTCTAAATCTATCATCAAAACTCTTAAAAACTCTGCTAAATTTGTCTTACCTGTAAATGTTTCAGTACAGGGATTGATTCCTGCCAGTCGTTTGGAAGTACCAAAATCAGATATCTTTACCACACCACTGTAGGTGTTCACCAAAACATTATCCCCCTGTGGTTTGGATGAGAGAGAGGAAGAGGGGAGGGGAGACAGATGAGTACAGATTTCAAATCCCAATCTCAATATTCCTTCAAGTTTGCAATTATCTTTGTAATATAACTTTCTACAAAGGAGTTTTCCAGGAGCGACATGGAGAAGGGGTTGTTTTATTCTTTCCTTTTTTTTTAAGGTTCCATGAAATCCTATTAAAAATTCTACTTCAGGTTAGAGTAAAACTAACTGAAGTAAGAAAGATAAAAAGCAAATAACATAAGACACTCTAAAGGAAAATTTACCTTTATATCTCTGTGTACAATCTGGTTCTCATGGAGATACTTAAGGCCTTCCAGAATCTGCTTGGTATAAAATTTAATTGTAGGTTCTTTCATTGGGCCCCACTTAGATCTTAGGAGAGCTGAGAGGCTGCCTATAAGAGTTAAGAAGAAACTGTATCAAGATAGCAAAATCCCCAAATTAACATGAAACATTTAAGTCTAGATTAAGCCTTTCCTCAATATCCTAAATCAAGAGAAATGCAGTATCTATAATTATGCCAAATTCTTCATAGATCTGTCAAAGCAAATAATTTGCTGCTACTCTTGGCTGGTTATTTCTTTCTTGCGAGCTCAGCTTCCACATCCGTGACAGGAATAAACATTACAACAGGGCTGGATGCATCTCCCTCACTTCAGTCTAGCAACTGTTGAGACCAAGGCTGGCAGCCATTTAGCTCTTAATGAAATCAAGACCAAAGGTAACACTGTATGATGCTATACACTACATTTCATGAGCCATGTGCATGGGCAAAGAGCAGCTGATTTACTTGAGACGGGGAGGGGAGAAGAAAAAAAGGAAAGAATCTTTTCCTTGCAAATATGGGATTAACTTCTGGAAATTGTCAGACACAGAAGGAAGAAAGCCCTGAAAGAAACCGTGTAATGCATGTTCAGAGTAGCACATAGGTCGTCCGTGCTTCCACTACTTGCAATGAATCTAACCTGCTTTTAAGTAACACAAATATTTTAATCATGAAGCAAAATAAAGACAGCTTTGCTTTTACTGCTCACAATAAACTAAGTGCAGTGGGTCTACTTAATGCCAGACAAATTCAGCTAAAGGGATTTTCAGTCCACACCAACAGTTTTCCAAAGTGAAGTTTCCTCAAAGAATCTTGCATAACCTGAACAGCAGGTTCCTTTTTAAGACTGGCTGCAGAGTTTAAAATATCTGAATTTGTTAAATAATATCTTGACATTAGCAACTAAACACAGCAAACTATTGTGCTTATATGAACAGGAAAAAAAAGGGTATGTAAACAAAATCAGCTGATACTTTAAACAACTGCAGAAAACAAGTGAAAGTGTTGGTATAAACTCATCACATCTGCTCATATCATACATGCCAGAGTGACTCAACTTTCAGGTGAGAAGGTTTCAGAAATTCAAAAATTAAATATGAATGCCCCAGATGTATTTAATTATACTTTCAGTGTTTGTGTCTGGACCTTCCCTAGAAAACTTGAACATTTTTTCCCTGTTTTTATTTTGCAAATTATATTCATACAAGAATTTAACACTTCTTCTGACACATACTTAATGCTGAAGAGCAAATAGCAAAAGGGAGATTGAAATACAACCCAGAGAGGATACAGAGGTACTTGACATCTTAAAATGTAGAGAAGGCTAGAGGAGCAAAACTGGAAATTATGAGCAAGAGAAGCATATAATGTCTATCTCTAATCTACCTAGGAAACAGCAATGCTTTGTATATAGCAGTTACAAAATAATACTTAATAGCTCAGTTAGCATTACTGCTCAACAGAAACTTATCCTAAAAGCTCCAGTCATCATTCAGATGCTCAGGCTAAATGGACTATACAGCTCTAACTCCACTATTTTATAACACATGAGTATTTCACACCAAATACTTGTAATGACTTTTCTCTAGGTTTATAATTATTACAGAAGGAGAAGGTACAGGGACCTGTACACTTCAAGCCTATTCTTTATGTCAGGAGAATGCCACCTGCAGCTAACGTCTCAACAGGAAAGCCATACAGAGTGCACAAAGATATTTTCACGAAGTTTAAAGTCCCCATTGCTTCTGATTCCTTTGAGAGACTAAACTGAGAATGATACAAACCTCCTGGCACCTGCTCCATAAAAATCTTAATATATCCATCTTCTGAAACAGATCCAAGATACTGGACAATGTTCCGATGCTTTAAATATTTATGCAGTGCTATCTCTTCATGAAGAGGTTGAGAATATCTATTAAAAATAAAATAAAACAAACAAATGGAGGACTATCTCATGATGCATGAAAAGGTTAAATGCTAGTTTGCAAACAGAATGGATTTTAGGGATATTAATTGAATTCCCAGCAAACACCTTGTCCATGGCCTTCAAAATGCAGTGTGACTGGCTGACTATTCAGAAAAAGTACAGAGGCAGATCTCAGAAGAACACTCAAGGAGAAACATACCCCCAAAAAATTATATTTGTCTTTCTTCTGTATCATTACATAGTACTGTCTTTGTCTCTGAAACTCCTTTTATGCTTTCCCCCCTCCCAAAAAGAATACAAATGAGATACAACTGCAACTTCAAATCCAAAATATGTCTTATTCTAGAATTTATTATATACATATAGATTATCAATTTGTGTATTATTTATGATATATATAATATCTTTTTTTAAAAGTCCTTATTCTCAAGAGGGTTGAATACTAGGAGGAAATAATAACTGAATTTTAGTATACTGGGTTTTATAAACTAACCACATAGAAACAGATGCTAAGAAGAGCAGTTTTCAGCAAACAACTGCAGTTTCATTGGCAATGGATACAGAATGAAAAACTAGGCCTTACCTGCTGTCTCTCTCAGGTATTTCTTTGATGGCTATTCGGACCTGATTGCTAAGGTCTCTTCCAGCATAAACTATTCCATAAGTACCTTTCCCTAGAACTACTTTGTCACCATTCTCATCATAATCATATTCATACTGCAAGCAGAAAAGAGAAACAAAATAGCATAGAAACTGTTATCACTGACATTTAACATTATAGAGAGTCTTAACAACAGTTATGTACCATACTGAGTTAGTGCAGCACAGAGCAGTTATTGCAGCACTACTGTAGTACCATAGGTTACCCATCAGCTTGGTGCATTACAGAACCTGTAAAATTTCCATGTTATTTCCTTTACAAAACAATCTTCCCTAACCAACTTCCAAATGCATTGTCCCAAACAAGGGACACAGCATTAAACCAAGTTCAATGAAACAGTGCTGTCAAAAGAACACATTCAGGTATCATCTCTAAGAATTGATGACAGCACCTTCAGAATATATAAATCTGTGGAACATAACCTATCATTTTGAAACCAATGGTTTAATAAAAGTTACACTCTCATTCCAGTGGGTGGACACTGTTTTAAGATCCTAAACTCTTATCTGAGCTCAGCCACAGCAAAATTCATGTCTGACTTATTCCCCTCACTATGAGCTTTTCCAAAAGGTAAAAAACCCCCACTCATCTTCTGATTAAATACCTGAAGTGGTGGTTTTCACTACTGCTGAAACCATGCTGGGTCATACTGCCAGCTGAATAAGTCACTGCTGCTTCACTGGCTTCAGTAAAGCTACACTAATTTACACCACCCTGTGGTCCTGTCCCATATGGTGAGCTTATCACTGAGCTTATCACTGAGCTCTCTGTCTACGAAGGTTAGTGAAAAGCCTATTGATGAATGATGCCTAACGGAAGTACATCTCAGACACCAAATAACCCCAAATTCCTTATGGAAGTTGGGTTAAGCAGCACCCCTTGATTCGAATCAGGGAACTGATAAAGGATATTGAAAAAGCACTTTTGCAAACACTTAAGAAATGATTTGGACGGTTTCATAGCCTCAGATATTCTCAGAAGTACACAGATCTCCCCATGTATCTTCCCAAATCCAAGAGAAAATGGGAAAACTGCAGTGTATTCTCTGTGGCTTCATATGAATTCTCTATTTTAAAAAAAGCCAAACTTCTTCTACAGTGGCCATAACTATTGACATTTCTGTCAATTACATTTTTTCTGCTTTATCCAGTAAATATCCTGTATCCTTTATCCTGTATGCTCTCTCATACAGAATGTAGTCTTGAGATCTACTACTTTGAAACGTCTTCCCAGCTCGTACTGCAGCTCAGTATTGCAATGTCCATGTGTCACTGACATACCCCCCATCTTCACCTCAGCAAAGATGGCAAGTTTCATGCTACTGTATGGAAGGTGCTAAAGAAAAACCGTCTGTCGTTTATCCTAACAGCATACTCTGCTCCGTGGAACTAAACTTGAGTTAGCACAGCTTCAGTAGTTTCATTTTCCATGTTTCAGCACTTCATGGTTCACAACATAATCCTGTTACATGATAGGCATAACTGACCCAAAACGCCATATGTAAAACTTGTCAGGTTCTTTGGTAGGAGCATATCCAGCTTTCACAGCTATCATATGACATAAAACTGTGCAGAAAAAAGACAGCAGTCACATTGCAGAATTTAAGATTGACAGCAACCCTATCTGCAACAGCCTGGTCCTAAGCCAAATCTATAATTATTATGGAGAAACCTATGTTCTCTAGTCTGGGTCCCATGTTACATGAAAATCAGTGAGATTTATATTTCAATGCCAGTTAGTAGACTGTTTAATAGACTTGTATATACTTGATGCCTCTTTACATTTCTCCTCTCCTTCCAAGAGCTACAAAGATTGAATAAATCGCTGCTGGTTGCCAGAAGTCTGAATATATGATCCACTGGATGTGCAATTCAACCATTAGGTATGAGTAAACAAGTCATAGCTGACCTTCTGTATGGACATGGTAGGGCAGAGTCTAATCTCTAGGACACCCTATTTGGGCTACAGCAGGTACTCTTAAAGTGATAGGAACTTCTTCAAAATCAATATCCAGAAGTAAATACCCTAAGGTAGAAAGTACTGCCAAACTCACTCTCCCTCCAAATCCTAGTCAGCTATAGAACTAAATTGTAGTTGCTTTCAAATAACACTGTCATCTAAAATGCACAACCCCTTGGGACAACATTCACATAAGAATTCTGACTGAAGTCGTATTTTCTTGCCCCAAACAGCACTCAGTATTTTCTTCCTCTTCCCCAAATATAAACATTTGGTTTTGCTTTCTCTGTGCTTGTCAAGCCCATCACGACCATAAAAAGCTGCATTTTCCATATTGTCTCCTCTTAAATGTAAGCTCTCAGGCTGCAGAAAGACATTAAGTGTCTTAGCTTATTTATAAGCTAAATGAATTAATCCTCCCTTTCTGTATCTCGATTTCTGTTTTCACGTCCTGACCTAGGAGAGTAAGTACAAGGTGATAATTGTGAAGACTTCAAGATATGTAGAATGATATAGCTTAAAGATTTAAAATTAATTTCTGTAGTAATTTCTCCATACATCACTGATTCATGCAGGATTGTTTCCTGCTGTGCATTCTCAAGTGATTCTTCCAATTCAGTTTTTAAAAGGCTCAAGCCACGGTGAGCTCACTTCCTCTCAGAGACTATTACACAGTTGAACAGACTGTGTTGTTTGGAGATTGTCCTGCTATTAGCTAAGTACATAAGCATGCAATGTAAAATCTGCAGCTATAGATAATACCCTGTCTTTTCCAAAGCAAAGTCCTGATCCTAGGCCAAGACCACAGATGTATGTATTAAGCTGAGCCTAATAGATGTGCATACGTTGTCCTTTTCACTTGAGAATTCTGTGGCCACCATGCACAAACTCAGTGCAAAAACTCATCTTTCCCACCATATGCAATTACATTCAATGGTACAGTAGAGAGTGCTCTACTTTCTTAATCCTCTTCTGAAGCCTCAGGCACTACAAAAGGTTCACTGTAAAGAACCTCTCTGAATCATAAGCCTAAGAGAATTGCTGGAAGGAGACGTGGTCAGAAAGATACCCAGCTCAAACAGACCACAGTAGGGTTATTACACTCATTAATTGGATTGACTGAATTTCCTTGACCACAAATGAAAGTTACAACCTACTTTTATGATGGCTTTGCAGCTTTCAAAACAAATAAACAGAAGTGCAGGATATGTACTTATTGCTACAAATCTGGTCACTTGCTATGAGGCAGTGTCTTACGAAGACGTGGATTCACCTACCTTAACCTGAGCCCCCATAAAATGTGAATAACTCCTTCCAAGTTGGTGGTTGGGGTTTTTTTTTTTAAACTCTGTACTGATTATAAAGAAAGCCCACAGCTACTCAGTTCCTCACATGAATGTTTCAGTGATAAATCAAAAGCACAATGGATTAATCTGAGCCTAAATATCTGCAAATCTCTGTGACAGAGAAAGCCTGTCAAACGAAAATTACTTGGAGTAGTAATATCAGATACCAGCTAGAAAAACTGAAGTACCTCTGCTAAATGGCTTTTTCCTAGAATTTATTTAATTTATCTTTTTTTATCCACTTAAGCCAGCTTATAACAGATGATTCTCATCTTCAGATTGTTTGCCACATAAATGCAAGAGTACGAACACCCTTCATTAGGGATTTAAGCAGTTTACAGTAGTAATAGGCTCACTTCATTAAAAATGTGGGGTTTTTTTCAAATGAATGCAATGTTCTTGTGTACAAATAGGTTTTTAAGAGTTGAAATTTAATATGCAATTAAGGAGTTTAAGTGCTATTTATGATCTTTCTAGTATACTGATATTAAAGTGCAGGGAAGACAGAGAACAAGATTCAGAGTTCTTGGATCTTATATTCTTGACGTACCTCCAATGTGTCTCCATCTATTTCTCCTTCTAGCTCCAAAGTACTGCCTACTGCATCAGACAAAATTTCTTTCACCAATCCACAGAATCTAAAAAAGCAATAAATCACACAGGATCAAATTAAGAAAATATCCTTTTGCAAGGAGATTAAACAGATTCTTCACAAGGTGGGCTTCGCTTTCAAGCTATTAAACTGACTAGCATGTTTATAGGTTTCTTTCACTATTTACTTTCTCCATATTTATCCTGTTTTAAATGAGGAAGAACATCAAATACATACTGAGAAGCCTAATTATTTATAAAATTGTTTTATTTGCTATAGCAGAACCTAATACTTGTTTGTAATTGTAGAGTAAGTAAATTGCAAGTAAAATCGTGGTAGATCAAACTCAAATATTTTTGCTGCACACTTTGGTGAAAAGTGCTTACTATGGCCTTGTCTTTACAAATGCAATTAAAGAAGTTGAGATATTAAAAAATTAAGATTGATTTTCAATGGTTTGATTCAGTAGTGTTAAATTTGTAACATCATATTGGATCATTCTCCTTCTGTGTAGTGATGAGAATTTTATTGCCTTCAGTTTAATTTAAATGTTCCTCTGGACTTTGGATGCAAGTGTGATTACTCGGTATATTTCTGAAAACCAGTTTTTGTGGTTTCTAGTCAGGCATCCAGAAAGCCAAGAATATAAAAGCAGTAACACGTTTTGAAGAACAGGGTTTTGATTAATTCCATCTACTTCTCTGGGATGGAGATCCTTAAGTACAATATCATCTTTTCCTGTAGAGCCCTGCCTGAGCCACTTTCTTTTTCCCAAATTCTGTAACAAATGGTTAACAATTATTAAAAATAATTATAAACCATTCTTATCTCTTTCATTGACTTAGAGAGAACCATCTCTGGAATGGACTCCTGTTGTGCACTGAATAAGGCATAAAAATGTGACTGTGTTTCATAACACAAATTGCGATGTCAAATTAAAGCTGAGCAGGTAACATTAATTTTGGTGTTTCATATCTTTTTTGCACTGTACTCTGCAGAGCTAATGATTTTCTTTAAACTGAGTTTATTCCACGTAATATATAAATAATAATTATTGCAAAAAAACAAGCAACCCAATCCCAAATATTAAGTGTATTAACAGATCACTCCTGCTTTATTCAGAAGGTTTATATGCCAAATATCAGCCCCCAGGAAGAGTTTGGTCTATGAAGATATAGGCCTGAAATCCAGTTAGCAAGCTTACTGTTTAGAGACAGCATATCATCAGCAAATATTTGAATACAGGCACAGACAGTAACAGATATCTGTGACACAATATAAGCTAGAAATTTCCATTACATCTAGTTGCTCTTACTTAAATCTTACTGAGCAGGTACATAAGGGAATCTAAACCAATATAGTACCTTACATGGCATGGCCAAGACTCAGAAATAGAAGATAACAGTTATGAATTAGAACAAGCTACTTAAGCCTTTTCTCAGACCCAATGATTTGCAGGTAAACTGATCAGAACCAGCCAACAAGTGTAATGCGATATTGCTCTCATCACCTTAAATATCACTGACTTTAGCACATTCCTTCTTCATCACGAAAAAAGAAGCAAAGAAAATAATAATGTGTTATATATATATATATATAAATAAAATAT